CGATTCTCGAATCGAGATACCGCACATCTTTTTCCAAGACGAAGTTCTGTTTCGACTGCGACGAGATCTTGGCTTTGAGCTCGCGAAGCACTTTCTGGGCTGCAAAGGAGAAAAGAGACAAAAATGCGTTAGCTATTGTGCAGGGGATGTATACAACGAAGGAACGGGCATGTAACGGAAAGCAGAGCATGCGCCTCGATACTGAGGGGATACACACCTTTGGCCAGCTCATCCTCGATTTCCAAGTCGGTTTCTTGCGCGGACATGGACATGTACAGCGCCGACATGGAAATCCGCTTGGATTGGCGGGCAGACCGCGTGCCATCGTAGGACGACATGGTGTTTTGTCGGGATATGTGTTGCAACGAAGACGATGAGGCAGTCGAGGCTCGCGAAGGTGTATGCAACATGACCGACATTGTTCCCCGTGCAGGCAGCAGATCGTAACGACACGGGCCGGGCGCACGATTGGGAGACTTAATCGGGGAAGTGACGAGAAACCAACAGATCAAGAGGCCGGTCGAGATCAAGATACTGTACGAGTGCAAGCGGGCGGCCAGTCAGGCTTGCCCCCTTTTTCGGAGTTGGATAAGAGCGCGCGCTCTAGATTCAAACTGGTCGCGTCGTGGGGATAAGACGATGGTATATGTCAACGTTGCATGAAATTGCTGAACGGTAACCAATGTGCGAAAGTCGAAACCGTCGTCAAGTCAAAATTGAGAGGGAAAGGTTTTTGGTCGGCAAGCGAAATGAGCATGCGACGAGAATATGGGCGGCAATGTTTGCAAGGGATTTGAAACCGGGCGAGTGTAGATTTTGAAGAATGAAAAGGCGCAAAATTTGTGTCGAGAGCCCTCAACGCGAAGATGGGAGCAAAGAGAGGAATCTGGAAAAAAAAAAGCAAACGACAGCAACGGTCGACGTTGTGAACGAGGGCTCGAAGAGGAGAAACTTGCGAAGGCAAAGTGAAGCCGGGGGACGGTAGACAGATAAGGAGGAGGGAGGGAGGAAAAAGAATATGCGCGCGTGAGTGGAGTCCCAGAGAGAAACGGGACAGGAGAGAAACCACTGGAGCAAGGACAGGACAAGAGGGGGTGGGTAAGAGTGGGTGTGTACGAGAGACTGTGCATGCGGGAGGTGCAGCCCACGGGTCTGTGGTGTATCTTTTGGATGCAACAGAGGCAGAGAGGGGATTTTGGCCGGGATTCAGGAACGGTTTCAGTGCGATATCGTGTTTGGCCAGTGAGGGCGAATGACGGCACAGGGCGAGACTGCCAGGAGTGAAACGAAAACGGAAGACGGGTGTGTGTGGGTTGACCGTAGTGGGTCGGATTGGGGAAGAGGTTGATTTGCGCCGAGGAGGAGGTTGCGCGGAGACACAGAAATGGAAATGGGTGGGCGAGCGTGAGAGGCAATGGGGCTGTCGGCACGCGCAGAGAGTGAGTGGGCAAAGGCAGGCTGCCGCTTTAGGGGTTGCATCGACGCAAGGGCGGGCAACAGACGTCTGTTCCTGACTGACCAGGGCCGGCGCGACAATTTGGAAGATATCGCGGAGTCCGTCCGGTTGCTTCAGCGTCTTTGCGTTTCTATATTTGCGTTTCGATGTTCAATTGTCGATCCCGGATTCTCGTCTGCTTTCGCAATTGCAGCTCTCTGGGAATTTCCAACAGTTTTCCTTCTCTTTTAACTGGCGCCGCTACCCCTATTTTCGACAACCCGGCTTGCCTCGTGTTGTTTTGTCTGTATTCTGTAATTCCCTGCTTTTTCGGCGCCGTTTGCTAGTTCGCGTGTTGCTAGTCGTTTGTTGGTCGGGTTCCTGGTCTGGTTTTACGAGAACCTTGGAGCCCAGCTAAGATGGGAACAGCGAGCGCACCAAAGAAGGCGGTCGAGAATGTCCCGTGCACAAAAAACAAATGAAAAAGACTGGAGATCAACGAAGTTGAAGTTGAGCCAGTTGATTCCGGAGCCGCTGGCCACTTTTCGTAATGGCAAAACATCGCCGTGTAAATAAGGGTAATTACATAAGGACTAGTTCGTAGTGTTCTCTATTCTGCGCAGTTACTGCGTAGCCAAGACGCCAGTGAAGTCCACAAACGGATGGAGTGGGCCACGGCGTTGCGCTGCGAGGCGTGGTAGACAAAACTTTTGGTTATTGCTTCTCCGTAGTACTCCGTATTGTTACTCCGTACAACGATGATTCGGTGACGATTCGATGATGTCGTTTGGTGCTGTGGCTGGGCACAGATGGAAAAGAGAAACGTGGAACCTAGAACGAACAAAATCGGTTCGTCAACGGGAGATTCGTCGACCGTCGTGTTTTCTTGTATTGTCCTTCTTTGCCACTTGTTCCGTGTTCTTTGTCTTATGTCTTGCCCCTCCTTGCCTGGTTGGGTTGAATTTGTGTTGGTTCGTCTCAAGCTGTTGCTGATGTTTAGTTCATATTGGCGCTCCTGGTTAACTTTAATCGTACCATCCATGCGTCCGGACTTTTGACATGAGCTTGCAGCGAAAATAGGGACATAATGACGACTGCAAAAGTCAAAAGCAAGCCGGCCATCAGCAGAGATACGACGGGGCGATTCGTGTGTTCTTGTCTGCGTGTGGACGAGAGGGAGTGGATACTTCCCTTCATGTCTCAGAACCAGGGGCACAAGGGGGAGGCGAAAATGAGAGACGATGATGGCCAACTGACTCTGTCCATTCTTTTATGTGGTGGTACAGTGCTGCTGATCGCCGCTGGTTTTGCTGGATTCTGAACGCAAAACTTCCGGTTGGTAGGCCTGTCTGCCGATGATGCCAGGGCGTATCCTGGGACCAACAGGGCAGGGAAGGGAGGGACGGGCTCAGATGAACACGAGTTGGAGGGTGGCCCGACCTGATGGATGCGTGCGTGCGTTCGGCGTTGACTCGTTAAGATATCTTACGTCGCCCGGGCTGTGTCCACGGGCAGTCAGATGAGCACAGAGGGGATGCAAGAAAGGACAGTGCGCTAGCGTCGGCCGTTGGTGCGCGCTATTTGTTTGGGTTGCGGACGACTGAAATTTTGGGATTGAGATGCTGAATTATGCTTCTGAGCCAATGTGCATGTTGGCTCGGGTTGATTGCGGCTGCTGCGGGAATGACATGACGCGAGAGGGTGTGGACAACAATACTCCGTACATGAACCTGAAAAAAAAGAGGACACAAATACTTGCACAATGGCTAACAAGCCTTGGCCAGGTTGAGGCCAAAGTTGGGCCGATGACGATGTTTTGTTGGGGGCAGAGATGAAGTAAACGACGGGGGAGGAAGGACAGACCGGCACGGACTGCATGGCTCAGAGGAGTTTAAAAAATAAAAACTGGAAAAGTAAGCGTCTGCTTTGCATTCTACTTCGTACGGATACCGGGCAGGAGCGATGTGCAGACATCACAAGAGTTTTTGCATATTGAGAAGGCACGATTGTGCGCGTGAGTGCGAAATGGCAAAGAGCCCGCAGTTGCTAGGGTCATCATTACGCAGTGACGCCGCACGGCGAATGGTAAGGGTAAGAACAAGGGAGGACTAGTCCCCAGTAGCCAGGGGAAGTGCCCCCCCCCCCCCCCCGATCAGGTCAGTCCAGGTACTTTGTACACAAGTCCCAGGGGTAGACTAGCGCAGGTCTTTCAATTGGGGAAGTCGCCACAGGGCATGAAAACAAAAAGGATAATGCAATATTACGAAATCCAATGCAGAAACAAAATTAGGATCTCTGACAAAATACCCGAATTAGACGAATTGGGGAGACCCCGTTTGAGCGACTGAATGATTCGTAAGAAAGGCGACGATAGTAGGATACGACATTCTGAAAGAGAGATGACAAAAAGGAAAAAGAAAGCAGAAAGGGCAAAGCCAAAAAGATCAGAGCATGGAAGACGAGATTAAAGCCGGGATGCAAAAAGGGGCCCGGGCGCTACCTGCATACATGTGGAGAACTTGCAGGTGCACGAGGTACCCTGGAGGGGAAGGAAGGAGGGGAAAGGGAAAAAGAAAAGACGGGAGGGTAAGATACACAGAGGGCTCAGAATGATTTTAGAACTGGGATTAGTGGCCGGCTGGGAACAACAATGAGCAGTAGGTTGCCTTTTTGACCTTTCAGCGCTTGTGACGGGTCGCTATGGACTGGATCGTTTTAGCGCATGCGTCGCAGCGCCAGAGCTGGCGATGCAAATGCCTGAACCTGAGATGTCATTGTTTATGTCTGATATGAGCAGCGAAGGCCCACCACTTTGATTCATTCTTTGGTATTCTTCATGCTGAACCTTTTCAGATCGCCGCCATTGGTAAACTCGACGAGTCTGCACTCCACTGGATCTCGGGTTTCTGGGCAAATACGATATGTCGTTGCCTGGTATGCGAGACAATGTGATTTCGCTTCTTACAGCCGCGAAGCAAAAGGACGCAGGACGAGTGAGGACGACATGTCCGTATGGTGGGTGAGCCATGTCGTCGGCACACAGGATGAATATATACTGTACACCGACGGCAAAGGGCAAGCAACGGCTATCTGTCAAGAACACGGACTGGGCCGTGTTGGTGTCTCTACTCGAGACGGTCAATTTTGTATTTTGCACGGCTTACTTAGGCAATAAGAAAAGGCAGGCGATCACGATATAAGCTAAGGCGAAGCAGGACTGTTGTATGGGAGTCGTGGGCACGTGGGGTACAGTGGGAAAGAGTAGGTACAGAGAATATGGAGTATATCATGCAGTGTTGCTGTACTCTCGTGCGACGTAATAAATGAAGTTTGTCGTACTCCGTAGGTGGCAGTCAAATGTACAGAGTAAAGTGACCTTGGCTGGCAGGGAAGGGTGGGGCGGTAGAGTGAAAAGTGGGAAGGCGGACCAGAATACTGGGGGAAGGGACGATCGGAGCGCTCGAAGGGGTTCTGGGGGGCAATGAGAAGGGTCATCCTTGGTTCGTAAAACGGAGAAGTAAGATACGGGGCGAAGCCCGTTTGTCAAAGTACTTGCAGGAGGGAAATGGGGCTAGAGTCTATCGAGGATGCAAAAGGGAAGGAGCGTGGTGAGGATAGAGCAACGCCGAAGGGGCAGGCAGGAGCGAGAGAAGCAGGATCGGGGAAGGAGAAACACAGGTCTGAGGTCAGCTTGGTGCAGCACAACAATGGGCGAGAGCGCGGCACTGGTCTCACATCAAGCGAGACGTCGGCAGACGATGGAAGACGAGACTCGGCCCTCGCTTTGGGTCTGCCGCGACATATTGAGGGTATGTATCTCGAAGGTAAGCTTCGCCCCTCTGCTGTGTCGTGATGTGTGGTGCCGTGTTTGGGTAGACAAAGCAGGATTACAGGCACGACTGACATGGTATGGGCAATGTTTCTTTCTATGGGCACTGGTGGTGGTCTAGTTTCTGCATACAAGATCATCCGAGACAAAAGGATCAACAAGGCGAGAAGCGGCTCAAAAGGCGAAGCGGGCGAACGTGTATACTGTGAAAGAGAAGGGGGCGCAGAGGCAGGCTGAAAACTACAACATACACATTTACACATTGCAGATTGAGGTACCACCAAAGTCGACGACCAGACCATTTTGGGACACTCTTCACGATGATGTTCCTCAATCCACTTTTGGTGTAAAATGTCTTGCAGATTACCGGCTAGAGAAGGACATTGCAGGACTTGTATCGACGGGCTGAAGATGCTAAGCAAGCGTGCATGTTTCCAAGAAAGTGCTTGCGGGCATCGACCGGAGCACAGACTTATATGCAAAGTGGCGTATTATTATATTGTATCAACAATTTTGGTGCTGGGTGATGATCGCACATCACGCACCGCATGCCGTCAAATTGCGATGCCTGGCGCAAAACGAAACATGAGGAATACGGTTTTCTCGCATCCTGTCTATTATTAGCACCCGTGTTTGGAGACAAGAGCACACTGCAAAAACATGGCGAGGAGACTCGTGAGGGTGGCATCATTAGAAGTTGCGTCTGACGTCGCAGTAAACGGGATGACAGAACAGAGTAAAGCAAGGATACGAACCGGTTGTGGGTAAAACGACGAGGAGCAAACGAGAGGAAAACAAGACTCCATCTTCGCTGCATCACAAGACGGAACAAATCATATCTGTGAGTGCCAGGCGAGGCATTGGACGATAAAAGATTGGGAGAGACGAGGGGGCACAACTGACATATGCAATAAGAAAAGGGGACCTTATAACGTAAGGGAAGAATGTGAAAAGGAACGCGCCAAAAGAAAGGGCAGAATGATGAACCGGGCATCTCGGGAGCGGATGAAAAGGCACTGCCGCGCCCAGAACACAGAACAAAGGGAGGACGACCCTGTCGCCGTTGCAACAGCGACGACGATGTATGCGTGAGAGTCCCAGCCGATGGCAAGGTGGCAAGTTTGAAACTGCTCGTTTCGATCATCACTTCCCTGCCCTCCGTCGTGACTCTCGTCTTTTCGATCTCAGTGTTGCCTTCGTCACCGTTGCACTACGCCCCTCTTTGCCTAGGAACAGCGTTGCACTGCCGCTAGCTTTACGGGACTGCAGGACTGCAGGCATATGCCCATGAAACACAATCGGCCCAGGGGTCCACGCAAGGAGGGGAAGACGTTTGATACAGGCACGAGACGACGTGTAAAGACGTTGTAAAAGAGGAAATTGTTAGTACGTCGAACGTCCTGTGGCGTAGGTTGCACTCTGAGAATAAATAAAAGGGGTCGGCTGATGTTTGGTGATGTCGGCGCCTTGCATCAACGTTGGTTTGCTCGCACGCTCGTCAGTGCCTCGGGCGGCTGGCGAGGCCAAACAGCTTGGATGTAAGTTTGTATGGGTTCACATGCATGTGCAATGCAGCCTGTGGGATATCACTTGCCGCAAGAACAACAACGGTACGGTTGGCAGTTGATGGGAATATTGTTACAGTCACTTCTCGGAGTCCGTCTGCCGATAGCGAAAAAAAAAAAGTGGATGAAAAGTCAGCAGGAACAACATCATCGGTTATCGTGGGGGTCAGAAGGAAACGACACTGAATATGAAAAATGAACGAAAATGAAAATATGAGACAAAGTCTGCCGAACCATGGGTATCGAAGGTAGAAATTTGATCCCACCTCATCCCTCGGATGAACGGCCTACAGTGCATGTGCCACCCTACTGCATCTGAAAAGGTTGCACGACACCATATTATGATAACAAGACTCTTTTGCATTCGGGTAGAAAGATTGGATAGAAAAAATATGGGAAGACTAAGGGGCTGAAGTACTGCGCAAGGGACGAGGAACGTAAACTGGACAGCTATCGACGTATTTTGTTCAACAGTAGAGCATACGACATACGTGATACATGATTCAGAATAACCGGCTCTATCGCATACTGTCAACCTTGCAAAAGGCCTATAATCCCATCTGAATTTGAGACAGTCGTCCCCATCCGCCCCATCATATCTTATGCTGAGGGAACCTCGACAATGTCAATGTCAGGGCCCCACGCATCGCCGACGCCGGCAAATTCGACCGTGTTACTGCCAGACTTGAGCGCCGTCGTCAACACGCTCTCGCCGATGTTGCCACTCTGAGCTCCGGGTAAAAAGTCCATCCGGATCGGCGACCCGCCATTGATTCGTACGTCGGCCTGCCGGCCCTTGGCCTCGGATACGCCATACCGGACAATGAGCGTGGTCGTTCCACTACTTGGCGCCGACAGCCCCGACAGCGTGATCGTTCCGTGGCTTGGTCCGCCTACGTAGCCCGCTGCTTTACCGCCCGAGCAGGGCTTGCAGTCCACGGCCTTGGCTCCACCTCCGTACGCACCCTGGTTGCCAGCGTACGACTTTTCGTCCGGGTGACTGGCCCACGGCTGGATCGACTCGACATTGGGCAGCCATGCGGCGTGGTTTTTCATGGTCACGGACGTGCCCGAGATGGTCAAGGGCAACCAGACGTATGTGCTGGCCCGCAAATTCTTCGACACCCAACGGTCGCCCATGTACATGACGTTGCCACTGGAGCCGTACGGAAGTACATAGTGCGTCTGTGACGAGTACGTCTTGGAATTCTTGTCGGCGAACGTGGCCCAGGAAGACCAGCCGGATGTCAGCGAGGTCGACGTGCTGACAACGTTGTCGTTGGGGTCCCAGCCTGACAGGTGGCTGCCGAACATGTAGTAGCGGCCCTTGATCTTGATGAGTGCCGGCGCCTCAATATGGTCCTTCCAAAGATATGTGGATGCGGCGACAGAGAGGTAATCGTCGGAGAGCCGCATGATTCGGAGGCCATTGGCACGCTGTTGGTTAGCCGAGGGCCAGGCTATATTTTTACTCGGTTACGTGACGTTGTCAACTCACGTCTTCTGACAACAAGTACGCCTTGCCATCGTCGTCTTTGAACAGGCCCATGTCGCGGCTCTGAAATCCGAGCGGCTGGAAACTGTTATGATAGGCTGGGGCGCATCAGCGTCCTATTCCATTTCGTTTCCACGACGGTCTACCATGTCCTCCATCCCAGCATTCGCACGCACTGTATTTCCCGCACACCGTGTCACCTGTGGCCACGCCCGTCTTTGCTTCGCCGTAGTTGCTGCTGTCGACATGCATCCAGAGCACGTACTTTTGCGTCTTGTCGTTGTAGACTACCTTGGGCCGCTCGATCACCCGGTTCGGGCCCAGGTCGCCACTTCCCGTTCGCGATAGCAGCGCGCCTTCGTAGTGCCACTGCACCAGGTCACGGGACGAGTAGCAGTTGACATTCTGGAATGCCGAGCCGTCAGTTTTGTCCTCGCCGATGAGGTAGTAGGTGCCGTTGACCTCGATAACGCCACCTCCGTGCGCCTGCATATGCGCTCCGTTGGACTTGTAATGCTTGTTAGGATGGAGACTGTTTGAAGAGGAAGCCAAACGGACACATGTACTTACTGCCGTCAATGATGCGCCTGGCACAATCTGTAAGGCCGCCCGGGCTGGTACCAGAAGATAACTTGCACAGGCGGCCGCCAGAAGAACACACGTCGATCGAAGACCCATGATGGTGATGCGTGCAACGTCAAACGGTTGACCTGCCAAATTTGCGCATTTGAGCGACAGGCATACTTTTATATCATGGACGGTTCCGGGTTCCTAGGTCCCGGTGAGCAGTGCAACCAACGACCCTTTCATCTCAACTCGACGTGTCTGTATTATGCCGCGCTTCCTCATATTGGCTGCGCCATAACACTAAAAATCATTGCAAGGCCGCCCACCGCAATCCGCAATATCGTCACCGCCCTGGTACAGATGCTTTATCCTGCCGCGAACATTAATTTGGGACACTTGCCTGCCGCTTCATGTGGGGTTTGAGGCACCCAATGTCGATTTCGGCGACTTGTGATCGGTTCGTCGGCCTCTCGCCACGCATTAAACCATCTTGGCCATCCACCTGGAAGTCATATTTGCGGGTAAGGGATCCGGGGAGAGGACAACATGGAAGGAAAGAAGAAGTCAACGTGGTCCAACTGCACCCGCACTCGCACTCGCAGGGCCGGCGTCCTTTGACATGATGATACTCATCAATACAGTGAAACGCAAACGAGGGCGAGCACCAGGTGAAGCTGCAAGACAAGGCGGGCCTATTAATATCCCAAAGAGCTGCACCAGACAAAAAGCACAAAATTAAGCAAAGGTACGTTGAGCGTCCCGCACTGTATCTGCGTTGACCAACGTCAAAGCCATCGATTTTGTCGACTCCAAGAATAGGAATGTCGAGACCAACAAGCCGTTACTTTCTTTCAGAATGATGAAACGGCTGCGCGAGCGATCGACAAGATGCAGCATCCAACACGGCGGCTGTTGTCGGCTGGGGGTTTGTTTAACCAATCGAGCTTGTGATGTCTGTCAGTTGCTTTTCTTTTCCTTTTCTCTCCCCGTCACTTCTCATCACCGCGATTCTGATCGACGCCCGGCCAGCCACCTCGTTTCGCCTCAAGATGTCCCGATCGGCCTCCAATCGCAATGCTGGCACTACATCGACATGAGTCGAAATATCAACTCAGAGTTGGTTGTGTGTCATAGGCATTTGTGGGTCAACAAGAGTTGGTAGACTCCCTCCTCCGTCATCTCAAGCCAAGGCATACACAGGTGAGGTAGGATCGCCTTTCTTTAGGAAGTTCTTCGGGAAGTGGCGGTACCTCGCATTCTTAGTCACCCACTAAATCCCTCCAAAAGTCCCTTGTATCAACAGTAAAAAGGGTCGAGAGGGTCTTGTCACAGGTACCTCTACCTGGCCTGCCCTTGGCGCCACAGCGCGGGGTGGCACTGCACCGAAACGTGCTTGGCGTGCCCCAGGGCTGTCCAATGTTCCTTCTCGTCTTCGACTCTCTTCTGCTACCATCGCCCGGAATTCTTGTCGCCAACTTCCATCCCAGCACACGACAGGCTACCACTGCTACAGAAACCTGCCCGCGATACGCCACAGCTGCTCCAACACAAAGGTGCACCTTCCGCCTTTCCGACCACATGCTGCATTGGACTTTCCGCACCAGGCTACTGACCTCCTTCTCAATTTGGCTGTCACCGTCGTTCTCTCCGGCCTTCTTTCCGACGTTCGCCCGTCGTTGCTTCCTCATTTGATGATTGAGATACGAGATTCCTGCTTCGCGCCTTCCATACCGCCGACAGCGGCAATCTCGACAGGCTTCAAAGACTACGTGAAAGGCCTCG